TAAATCTAATTAATATTTAATCTCATTGTTAATATAGAAAATTCAGCGAATTATCCAACTGAGTGAAATAAACGACTCTGCTTTGCATTGCTTAAGTTAGTGTAACGAAGTGGAAAATGTCGTCATAAGGGATATAAAGCTACTTTAAATTGTTATGCTCTTTAGCGAAATAAGTTAGCTGTTAGCAAACAATTACAATTAAACGTAATAAGTATAATTTTTATTGCAAACTAAACAATTTGTACGAATATATATATATATATATATATATATATATATATTTATTATTATTTAATTTTTTCTTCTAAAGAGTGTGAATTTCACACTTGAACGCCGTCTCATTTAAGAAAAATATGAAAATATCTGCATACATAATATTCCCTGTTAGTGGTGCATTGTTGATCATAAAAGAGGTAATTAGCAGTTATGTGCACTTCGGATGGGAAGAAATCATAACGAAAATAATGAAAAAAAAAAAAAAAGAAAGAAAATAATTTTTTTTTTTTTGGTTTTTATCTTTCTTCACCAGATGAAATTTATGAAGTGCTCTACTTGTGTAAGCATGTGTGTGTTGGTGATCTATGAAATGCTGGCACATAAAAACTAAGTTACCAGTATGCAAATAAGAAGACCAGAGCAAGTAATAAAATTATGCCATAATAGTTGCTAAAGACAATTTAATGGCATTGCAAAGGAATTGAGGCATAGATTATGATTAAAAAACAAGTGAAAACACCAAAGTGGGACGCGGCCAATCACTAAATACCCTACATCACCTTGTTTAGTACAATTATTCATACAATTCAACGATTTTCCCTAAATTTTGGGGAATGGTTAGAAAAGTCGTCAAATCCAAACCATTTTCAAGGGCAAACCATGTCGATGCACCGAAATTCATCAAAATATCTCAAAAATTGCGATCTATATGTTGAACACAAGAAAATGGACATACGGACAGACAAGCGTAGATTGATTCAGAATCACTTTCTGTATATAAGTGGTGGGTCAGTGTAGTAAAGACATGGGTCTATCTCAAGTTCATCGGCACAAGCTTACTACACCCCTGTACCAAAAGTAGTGGAAGGTATTAAAATGTGTAAAAAAAAAATTCGAAATATTTTTCAACCATTAACCGATTTTCTTCTCACCCATAATAAATTTTCATTTTGAAAAACTACTCCATTTTTTGTTTATCGAGCCGTTCTGACTTTCTTCTCACATTGAATCTTTTTAAGCAGGGGCACATGTTCTAAGAGCGATTCGGTGTGATGCTGTTTAGATGCACCGATTCAACTCAATGAATTCGTGGGAGTGTTTCTTTTTTCTCCTTGTTATGATCGATAAGTCATTGACTGTTCGCCATATCGGTAGCACTGACCAAGAGGGGCAGGAGGGGTCGTGTGCTAATTAACCACTATAACCGGGAAAAAATATTGGCAACAGCATTGAGCATCGAATCTATAAACACCGGCTTGTTAGTCTCCTCCGACTGCTACCTACTCAGTGGTTCATATTGCGCTGATTTCAGATCTAAAAACGACGACTATTACGAGCAACTTAAGTGCTGTGATCAGCACAGCCGCAAACCGTATCAAGCGGTTTTCATGGCAGAAGAAACCTTTTGCTTTCTTTTATTTTATAGTACTAACGCTCTGCGAACTTTTCAATTATTCCACCGAAAAAGACCTTGATATCTTTATGTTTGTTTACACTTATAATGCCAATAAAATATAATTTTCATTTTTTGTTTTTTTTTTTTTTGTTTTATAAAATTTAACATAAAATTCAAATTTATTTTTTATGGTTAATGTCAATTTAATTTGCATATCAATAAATTTTCATATTAGCAGAGACGGTCTCACTTGTTCAACAGCATTTTACGCAATCTATGAAACCTGATGGAAGAAATCAGTTTTATTACGCTATGATATTGGCCAGGCGTGGTCAATTTCTTCGATATTTGTGCACAAATCCCTCAGCATCATCCATAGAATATGCGTTCAAGTTTTTCTACATTTATTTGCTTTAGTTTATGAGTAGTGCATCCGCCTGGGTGGCCGAGTAGGCAAGAGTCTCGACTAGCAACTCAGTGGTCGTGGGTTCGAATCTCAAGTGCGGTAGAGTTTTTAATAAAAGCCGATAGCCTTAGATGCTAGTGCTTTTAAGAGTTTAGTCTTAGAATTTATTTCTCTGGCGAAATTAATAATAATAATAATAATAATAATAGTTTATGAGTAATAAGGAAAAAATCAGTTTTTTGTTGCCTTTGAAAAGCAGGGGTAGTTTCGATTTGCGTGGTGCTGTAGGCGTGTCCTTCGATCGATTTGACCCAATTGCAATAGCAATCGGCGTGGAAGAACAACCAATGTTTCTGCAAAATTTGAGGCCAATAGCTTCATTTTTGCGGCAAGGAGAATGTTGACAACAGATATTATACAGACGGACAGACGGACTTATTTAATTCGATTTGAAATTTGATGCTGATCAAGAATATATGTAGTTTGTGGGATCTCTGATGCTACCTTCTGGGCGTTGCATATGTTTTGACAAAATAAGTATACCACTCATCCCTTCGTTGATGGGCATAAAAACTTAAGCAATTAATTATTAGAAGCGAAAGTTTTGACTAAAGTCATGATATCTCGCGATAGTATAACATATTTGAGAAGCATAAATATAAGCTTGAACTTTGCAACTCTCACTAAGACTGGCGATAAAATTCCTTCTTTTTTTTGTTTGACTAACGCTTTTCTTATCATCGGAAATTTACTGCAAACGTTTTCAGGGTTTCATTGATAACAAACAATTCCCTTTAGATACTTGGATACTTTGTATTCGAATATTACAAAATGAATTTATGTTACAAACATACGTCTAAAGGCAGAAATATGATAGAAAAATCTTCACACCAGATAAACATAATTAGTAAAGAGCATGCGATTTTCACACGATTATCTAAGAAAAAAGAGAAAAAATTAACAAAAACTTGTTATCTATTACTAGTTCGTTGCTTTAGTCTTTTGTTTAATGGAGTTAATTTTCCTTATTTTCCTTCGAAAACGAAAAAAAGGCGAGAGAAAAATTACTTGCGAATCTATTCAGACAAGCGGTAAATACTTGATAAATAAGACTTTAACATGAAACAGTAAACAATTTTTATCTAAATTGTTACTAGCAGTTCTACTGAAGTGAGGAGATGTTCTCCAAACATCTTTCTTCATGAGTAGTAGCGCAGGAAATATCTCGCATATGTATACGATAGTGATGGTCATAATGAAATGAAAAGAAGGTAGAGAGAGGAATTGGAAGTGCCCGCAGCGTGGGAGCTGGATGCCCGATAGTTAGGTGAATTGCCTCCATCGACCGATCCCTCATTATAGGTACATCGAAGCAACAATCGTAATTAACATATTGTGTACCGCGGTGGGAGTTGAACTCAGGTATGCCGATTGAAAATGACATCTTTTCACCAAAGCGAAAGTTTTAGTCGGCGGTTTTAGTTGGCGAGTTTTGAAAGCTCAACAAAATGGAGCGATCCGAATCATATTTGACCTTTGCGTCAAAGCACGTAAATGTACCAAATCTCATCAAAATATCTTAAAAATGGCGATCTTTAGCTGGTTGAACACCATTATACATGGACAGACATTAAATTGAAGGATGGATAGGCAACCTTTGATCGATTGAAATCTTGAATTGATTACTACTATAAAGGATGGATCTACCTTAAATCTTTCAGTATGTTACGTACATTCCGGCAAATTTAATATGCCCTACACCAGAAGTGCTGGACGATCTAATAAATCGTTCATATAATGTAAATAGTTATGAATTGAAAATTGTAGTACATAAGAAAGTGTTTTTGTAATGCTTTCCAATACAATTATAGCTAATGAAATGATTGAATAAATGCCGGAAAATTAGGATTATTGGTATTATCATTATCACCATTATTACTATTTTGAAGCTTTCCTTTCGTACAACGTAGTTTAAGTTTTTAGTTTATTTTGAAGTCCTTGCAGCTATTGGTTGGGCACCTTAACTAACGCTTATATCTGACGAGTGAAAGAACTCACCGTTTCAGCACTATTTCTGCTTATACCCGAGTATTAGTAGTATTTTCCGTTATATTCGGTTAGTGAAGAAAAGTTTCTCGCTTTTACTTCCAACTCGACTGAAAGTCCGTTTCAAATAAGATAATTTGGCAGTTTCTCAAATTCGCATTAACTACCAATGCTTAGACTTACACTACTTTACTTTGTTAAGTTCGAAATGAACTTTTGGCCTTAAAGCTTTAAAAATCACAACAATTTTTCATTAATTTCTTAAGAAGATTTTGTCTTATTGTCTTCTTATTTTAGTGAGTTAACCCGGTGTTAACTTCTTGTATATAGAAATAAAAAATTATCCTGAAGGATTCTCTATAATTGGATATGAATCTGCAGCATTTTCGCTCGCATACAGGGAAAGTTTTCTTAATTGCGATCAATTGAACCGCCTTTTCGCTTACATTGAGCCATTACCTCACTCTTGTAGCACTGAAGTTTGGTTGAGGAATAAAGCCGTTTCATTCGTGAATGCAAGAAAGAGTTCCTTTAAAGATTTTCATAGATCTCGATTTAGTTTATTCAACACGACAGTATCGTTGCGTGTCCGCTTGGAGCCTGAACTGACTGCCGAGATTATCAGTTGAAAGCAAAAATATTCTTTTCGTTCCGATTACTATTAGTTAAGGTAAATGATCCCGTTTAACAATCGACGAATTTCACACACGTAGCGAAACACTATTCTTCTATTCCTCTCTATCTATAGCAGTTCCTGACCATCAACATGTACCAAAAGAGATCTCTCTTAGAATGACTGATCACTTGTAGAAAAAAAAATGAGATTAGAAACAACATGTGACAATCGTCTGACAGCTAAAGCAAATAAAGCAACTTTTCTTTCTTTTTATATACAAAATATATATATATTAAGCTAAATTAATTAAAAAAAAAAAAAAAAAAAAAAAAAAATGATATTAAGTCATTTATCATCGATACTCGACTTTGGAAAATTTATTTTTGACAAAATGTTCGTGCAATAAGCAATGACAGTCATGCCATCAACGTTGGGAAAGCATTGACCGAGAAACTCCAATAGCATGGGCTCCTTGGTAACAACGGCAGCATATTCTTCATAAGAAATAGCACCGTCCCGGTCCATATCAAATTTTTTGAAAAGCACTTCAAGCATATCCTGGATATAATTGATATTTTAATGAGATGCGGGTCAAGTAGCATTTGATAACTTACCGAACGCAACTCATTAACTTCATCTTCATCTTCGCCCGTGAAAAACTTCTCTACGGCGAAAGTAACAACATCACGAGTTAAATAGCCGGTATTTGCTGCATTATAGATCTGTGAGAAGGACATACTTATTTATCTCTTCATATATATAAGACATAATCATAATTTACCTGAAAGGTAAATTTCATTTTTTGTTCCAATTTGTTAGCCATGAATACTGAAAATAATTTCACCCAAGCCACCGGAAGCACATCCTTGTTTAAATCTGACGTTATTAACGATAATACGCGTTCAATAATTTGCAAATCATAGATTTTAAATAAAACTAAGAAGAGATTATTAAATTGCTTTTTAGTCATTGTCTTCGCTTTCGGTCCATTCGCTAAAACAAATTTATGATAGACTAAGAGAATGCTTTGCACTTCAATTTCGCTAAATTGCGTTGTCTTGGCCATTTGTTTGATAAGATCGTGATAAATATTGCTGAACCTCGTATTCTGTACATCGTCTAACGTTGAATCCAGTTTATTCATTTTGCCGAGTCAAAGCGTCTCTAAGGCTCTAAGATTTTCTTGGGCGCCAAGCAACTATTATGCAGAATTATTGCACAAAGCAAAAAAAAAAAAAAAAAACGTAAACAAAAAAAACAGAAAAGTCGTATGAATTCGCTCGAGTTCGAAATTAAAACAAAGGCAAAAATGAATATTTGGAATTTAATTGATATAAAATTGACATAAAAGTCGTACATAAAATGTTTGGTAAGAAAACTTTACTAATTTATGGAGGGAACTATTGGATGGAACTTAATTTATGGAGGGAA